GGGCCAATAGTCGTACATTCGTGTTCTTCTCGCGGTACGGGCATGTAGTCTACCTTCGCGGTGTCCAGCTTGTTCGGGTCGTTGATTGAGATGAGTAGATTGTCCTCCTCTCGCATGAGTTGTTCTCGGATGTCGCGTCTCTTTCTGGGTAGCTCCATCCGTTGGTCTCGTAAGATCTGATACTCCTCTGGCTTCTGTTGTTGCTGTCCGTAGTATGTCTGAACCGAGTCAATGGTCATCTGGTTCACGTCCATGAACAGCTGGTCGATGCCCTTGCCGTTCGCGTCGTAGTTCCCGACTTTCCGCTCTAGCTCCTGAATAAACTCTTCTGCAGATAGTCCTTTGCGTGCTGCATTTGCCATGTTTGTCCTTGTCCCATGTCACTGCTTGTTGTCGGTGTCGCACTCGTTGTCGTAATGGGATCCGTACTGTGCGTTGAACTGGTACATGATCTGTGTTGTCTGCTTCTAATATGTTGCAGCCGCGTTCCCATGCGAAGAAGGGGGCCCTGGGATATGATGCTGTTGGCCAGCGACGTGGGCATCATGAGATAGTCTATACAGCTGGCCGTCGTTTCTCCAAAGTAAGTTGGTCTCCAAGCGCCCATGGTATGCGTAACTGTTAGTCTGTGGCGTTCCGCGTGCTGCCGTGCTTTGTGTCCCGCACCGCCTGGTAGCTTCTCCTTTGCCCTGCCTGTCCCAAGCGAGGCGCTCTCTGGGTGTTCGTTCTTGCAGGTGATGCCCATGCCATCATCGAGGTCGCCCGCTGTGAAGAGGAGGCTGCCTTGGGGGCGCTTTGTTGCTACTTCCTCCATCCATTAGAATAATCTCGCCACCGTCGCGAAGTACTGCTTGCGGTCTGCCGTCTTTTTTGGTTGCGGCGGGCAGTAGTAGCTCACGAAGTGTGATCTGAATGTCGTGCTGTTGTAGTTGAGGGGCCAGTCCACGTCCGCATAGCTCCTCTGGAAGCTCCATTACGCTGACCACCTGCGCCCCTCGTAATTTGCCCTGGATCGCGATCAGCATGCCCGTGCTGCGGTCGGTGAATGCTCCGTTCGCCATCCTGCGTCGAAGACTCGAGTTCCCTGAGTTCGCCGCTGTTCAGGGTGAGGTTCGCGTCTCCATCTTTGTGCCCGCCAGTACGATCACGTCGAAGTTGGTGGCATCCTCGATGATTTCCTGCTGCCTGTCGGGCTTAGCGGAGAGAGGGTTGAACAGCAGCAGCGCCAGCGACGCTGTCCATGCCGTTGCCGCCATGCGGGCCTCTTCCCAGTCAGTTCTGCCTCCACATGCTGTGGGATGGCGGTGTTTGTTCGCTTGCTGCCCTGACAATCTCTTAGGCCCAGATGGCAGCTGGAGGAGGAGGAGGAGGACGAGGAGGAGGAGGAAGAGGAGGAGGAGGAGGAGGAGGAGGAGGAGGAGGAGGAACTCCTCATCGTCCCGTCTCCCCCGTCCTACATATGGTAATGGTGGTGGAAAACCTGCACATCTATCCGGTGAGTGATGAGGCCCACCCTAAAAATTCGACGCGAGCTCCTGCTGCAGACGTCCCGCGAAAACTGCACCGTCAGAGTCGAGGGCGCGCTCGTTGGGAAGCGTCGGCAGACCTGAGTTCTGGCAAACTATAGGGTCCCGACCGCAAGAGACCTTGCACAAGAAACCCAACCCTGAGGCCCCAGGGCGTCCCCTGATTTTTGGTGCGGGACCGCCGCTGGTGCGGGACCGCCGCGCTTCCCATCGCATAACCATCGAAATCCCAAGAAACCCAGGGCGCGCCGGAGGCACGCCGGGCGTCTCTTGGCATGGGTCTCGACTGAGTGCTCGAGCCTCACGTTCCCCTGAAGTCTGTGGGGGGGGGAGGGAAGGGATGGCCCACGAAACGGAACCCTCGACTGAGGGCCAGCAGCCGTCCGTCGCCGCGCGCTAAAGTTTCGGTCGGGCATGGTCTCCCATAGGCGGATCTTGGACGAAAGCCACAACAAAGAACCACAGACCCCCTAACATAGCCAAGCCTAGTAGAGAATTCGTCTCCGTTTTCTATGATTGTATAACAAGCTCATATATCATATATGCAAACAGGAAAAGCACTATCTATGAATTCTCCTCCTGTGTGGGGGCCCTGCCCGACTTTGACGCCAGAGCGTACCCGAGGCGTGCTCGTGGAATCGCAGGTGGGCCAGCGTGGGCCCCGCGAGCGGGCTGCTCCGCTGGCGCGCGGAGAGGGTCCAGGCGGCTTGCGCGCCCGGAAGCGGGGTGCGCCACCGAGCCGTGCACACCGGGGCAGGGGAGAAGAAAGAGGACCGGAATAATCGAGGAGGAAGGAGGCCACAGAGCCGCGAAAATCACCGAATCCAGAGCCCCCCGGATCGGCGGCACTGGCCGGAGGCCATTCCAATATATACACCAGGGCTGGACCTAAACGCTGTTTTTCGTTTCGTCTTCTGTTCGTTGTTCGTTGTACTCTGCCTGTTTTCCTGTACCTCCCTGCCAAAACGAAAAACAAAGCACAGCCGAAGTCCAGCAAAACAGTGTTTAGGCCCAGCCCTGATATGCACAAAGACGACCTCCGACGAGCTGTGTAGGTACCGTCAGGGAAGGCGGCGGTGTACAACATCGCTGGCTCTCCGTGGTGATTGATACACCACCACCCTCCCCTGAGGCCCAGGAGCAATCCATTTAGAGGAAAGAGAACTATGCACATACACCGATTCTGGCCAGGCCCAATCATGAGCCCAGGATCGGTGCATACGCCCTCCTACCTTGGCCAGGAAGGCATATGCACCGATCCTGGGCTCAGGATGGGCCTTGCCAGGATCGGTGCATGTGCATAGTTCTCTTCGCCCGATCCATTGGAGGGCGTATGTGTGCATATACTCTTGTGGCAGAAAGGGTTTCCGATTCACTGCAGCATCTTCAGCTCGCGAGGGTGTGGGGCCCAGGTTGTTTCAAAAAGAACGATCGCCCGCGCGAGGCCCACGCGAGACCCACGCTGGGACGCCGGGCCGCTGGTATTTACGGTGTTGGCGTCGCGGTGTGCTTCATGGGATCCATGCGTTCCCACGCAAGAAACAAAAACTTCTAGCCTGGGAGTGTCTGCGGTGTGATTTATGCACTGCAAGCGATGCGGCTTGACCGAGAAGGAACCGACGGCGTACGCAATTCGACATTTCCCTCAAGGGCCCTTCGATCCGTTAACTTCGAGCGCGCCCGTTGGACGGCGATGCTGCCTCTTCCCCGATATTCAGACTCGCCAGCCAGATCCGCTCGCCTCAAGCAAAACACTACTGCATGTAAAAGAACCCATTTAGACGAAACAATACTAAACGAACGCTTATTACGGTAAAGCGGAGGACTTCTGATTCAGAACCAGCGCTGTCTTAGTAAGGACAACATGTTCCCAACCTCCTGTATGGTAAACGAATATTGCAACGATGGTGAATGCACCATCGCCGCCATACATTCCACCCGAAATGTTGTTCTTCACATCTGTTTCGATGAAAGATAGTTTTCGCGGCTTTCTTCCCCCGCGGCCCTTTCTTTCCCCCTCAAGGGTCTATAATCGGCCCGTATCAGAACGATCCGCGATAAGGATGCAAGGACCATGGAAGGCCATTTCGAAGCTTTTCGAGCGGTGCGCGGCCAACAGAAGTGGCCGAGGATGGGCCGAGGAGGCAAGGATGCAGGGGTACCTTGGGAAGGTTGCCCAACCCTACTATGCGGATTGACTGTACTCTCGGCTGGCGCGCCGTTCTTGGTCGCGCTCTGCATTGCCGCCTTCTCCTGGGCCTCGGAGCGTTCGTGGGGTGGGCTCTTGTCCGAGGCACGAAACTCCTCTTCCTCCTCTTCTCGGGTCGACGTCCCAAGGCCCACCTGTTTGCGGTGGCCCGTTCTGCCGCGCTTTACATTCTCTCGCACTTTCCTTTGCGGCTGTCCCGGCGCGGAGCGGGCTTGTCGTCTCCTCACCCAAGTGCACCAGTGTCCGTAGAGGCCCACGAAGTCATCTATGCCTAGGATAGAAGAACAAAGGACGGCATAAACATAAACTTTTGGCGCTCCGCGCGGATCTCCTGGATCCGTTCTGGGTCCCCCCCGGCAGCGCCTCCGGCGCCGCCCTTGGCCCGCGGAACGCTCCAGGGCGGGGGGCACGACGCGAATCAGCGAGATCCACGCGGAGCGCCGAAAGTTTCTGATTACGCGTTTTTTTCTTCTTCGACTTTTGTTCTCGATGAGCGTCGGACCCCACCCCCTCAGTCCTCACCCCTTTCTGGGGCGTCCCTGAGTGAAGCGGGACGGTGACGGGACGGTGACTGCGAGGAGGGGGGGAAGGAGGGGGAGGGGAGGAGGAGGAGGAGGAGGAGGAGGAGGAGGAGGAGGAGGAGGAGGAGGAGGAGGAGGAGGAGGAGGAGGAGGAGGAGGAGGAGGAGGAGGAGGGGGAGGAGGAGGAGGAGAGGGAGGAGGAGGAGGAGGAGGAGTCGTCGGTGTCGGAGTCGGAAGCCTTGGCAGTTCGGTTGCCTCTGTCTCGTTACTGGCAGGGGCTGCTCGCCTGATGCTCGAGCTTGGGTCTGCTGGCTGTTTCATTCGGCGTGGCAGAGGGATGCCTGCGGGACCTCATGGCTTATCGAGCCTCACGGGCCCGCTTCGACACTGGACCGAAAATCCCTCCAACGCAAAAAAACACAGAACGGGTGGGAGGTTATCGCACGCTGGCGCGTCCCTCCCACTCTCGGGCGAGGTCGAGTCGATTCCGAAAATCTCGTGGCCTCTGCACTTATAGCCGCTACAAATACTGTCGCACACTCCCGCCCCCTCTCCAACCTCCCCCCAACCCGTCATCTCTACTTGCCTAATGGCCTAGCGCCAGTTAGGCGTTGAAGTAATTCAGTTGCTCTCACACTGCCAGCTACTACCTGGCGCCTCAATCCTCGAATGCCTACTCCATGCTCTGCCTCTGGCGCACTTGCTTCTGCACCTGCCGCTCGAGCGCGGTCGGTGGCGGTGCTCCTACGGTCGCCGCGCCCCCCATTGCCTGCGTCGCCCCGTATATCATGTCCCTGATCTGAGGGATGCTGAGCGGTTCCAGCTTGATCGGGCTCTCGGTGTTGCCCGCCCTGATCCTGTTGTTCTCGTCCTCCGCGTGGCTGTCGAACGGGTTGAGGCCGAGCGGGTTGAGCGTGATGTGTACCTTCCACCACTCCTGTTGTCCGTTTTCCTAGTAGGCTTTCTTCACCCTCATGAGCCTCACGAGGTCGGCGATCTCGTTGAACGGGATCACGTCCACGATCATGCTGAGCTTGCCCATGTCCTCCTTCAGGTGTGTCGGTAGATTCTCGGCTCGGCCCAAGGTGTCCAGGAACTCCGCTGCCACGTAGACGTGCTGGCTGCCCAAGTCCTTCTCCCCTGACTGGCTGCGCTCCGCATATTTCCCGCCCGCTGCCGACTCCGCGTTGGCTGCCGCGTGGTTGTTGCCGCCCACCAGGAAAAAGTCCCACAAACTGCCTGATCTGCTGCTTTCTTCGAAGCTCCTGCATGCGACGCGACAGCTCCTTCAACTGCTGCTCGACGCGGTCAAACTCGCTGGAGCCGTTCCCCTCGAATCTCTTGCTCCCAGTGAGGTGCCATCGTTGCCGTAGTTCTCCTCTCTCACGAATGAGCTGCATCCTCTGCTCACGCAACAGCTCGTAGTCGATGATGTTATTCTCTTGTTTGGGGAAATGCTCGGTCATGCTGTCTCTGATGCACGCTGATAACAAGTTCCACGCTGTTTGTACATCCCCATGTTCCCAGGTAGTTCTCCACTGGTCTTCTGGAATCATCTTTGTCTTTTCTTCGAGCTTCTCGAGAAATCCTTGCCTGCGGTGTCCGTTCAAGTGTGCTGTCATCGTCGCATCACGGTTAGCTGGGGGCGTAAACTGTGCTTGATAGGCTCTGGTAATTCCAACATCCATTTCCAGCAATACCGGTACGTGATCGTACAATTGTGCCGATCCGTACTTTTGCATCCTTCTTCCAAGCATTTGAAGCGTATTGAGTCTCTCGGCGCGAGCAAGTGCCATCTGCGGCATGATGGCGTGGTCAATCTTGCTGCGATGCTTGCCCTGGAAGAAAGTCGCCCCTGATCTCCAAAACGTGTCTGCTACTGCCATGTGGTTCTCCGCTAGAAATTCTCGGATTATGCCTGATACCTTTCCCTCTAGGGCGGGCTCCTGGATCCCCGCCTCGTCGGTCTCCTTGACGTACTTCTTACCCGTCATGTCCATCCTGACCCCGAACGTGCAGTTCAGGTCGCCGATGATGAGCGGGAGACAGTTGTTGCCCATCGTGTCAATCTCCTGCTGGATCCAGTTCAGCGCCGCCTTCGCCGTGTTCTGGAGTGTCTTCGCCGCTGCTTCCTTTGGAGGTAGGTATAGCAGGAATGTAGCTAACTTCGTGCGTCCCTGATGAAATCGTACCTCTCCCAGTCGGCCCGATAGTCCGCGTGACTTGGGTGGTACTTGGATGCTGTTCACTGTGCCCGTCAAACGCTTTCCGTGCAGGAGGGCAAGCCCGCACGAGCGATTCGAAACTTTGCTCTTTTCCCAACCAAACTGAATTGCTCGATGATGCGGTAGTTGACACTGGGTGATCTCGCTCTCGATGTGGGCTGCTTTTCCAGTGCCTATGCAGACAGCGATGTCGTTTGTCTCAGTGTACTCTGATATCTCCTCGAGGCGCCCATAGTCGGCGCTCTGCACGTTGTGAAAAATGATCTTCATAGCCCAAAACAAGAAGGGGAGTGTGCTCATGCTGGCTCTGGCCCGAGACGGTCCAGCCCCGCTGCGCTGCCCTGGGCGCGGTGCTCACGTGGGGTTCGATGAGCAAGCGCGCGGTCGGAGCTGAGCGGCGTCCTGGGCCAGAGTTGCCCCTGGAGGAGGAGGAGGGGGAGGGGGAGGAGGAGGAGGAAGGAGGACGAGGAGGAAGAATACTTTATGCCGTTTTTATTCGTCGATGGGAGGCGCCCCTTGACATTCTGCCGCCGCTCCGAGCGGGAGTAGCCGCGCGGGCTGGGGGCCCTTCGGCGAACCCTCGGGCCCCGTGGGCCTTTCTTTTTGCCCCCGCCTCCCTTTGGACAAGGGCCCGCCTCGTCGCCCGAAGACCGATCCATGCTTGCATGGGCATCCTTTCCCTGCCTTGCGAACGTTTTCTTATTCCGCGTTTCGGCACTGGGCGGAAGGGGGGTGAGGGGGGGGGGCTGGCTCCGGACCTCTGCTTAGTGCGACTGTTTGCAACGGTGCGTCCTCTGGGGGGGACTCCACCTGCTCGAAACAAGCGCCAAAAAAAACAGCCAAGATCCACTCCATAGGGCGGGGGTGCGAGGGTCCGCGCCGATCGGCAAAACCAGGAATGAGAAAACGATCGCTTTGCAGCTCCCAGTTGCGAAGTCTCGACAAGCAACCTGCTTCTCGGGTGTCCCGCTCTGCATGCACAGGCTTGCCGGGCGATCCTCCGGCGGCGCCGCAAGGGCCTCCTTGAGGGTGCCGCGAACGTTGGATTGCATCATCCCCCGTGGGTTTGTTTCGCCCCCTTGCCTTCGGGACTCATCCTCGTGAGCGCTGCCGCGTGCTCAATTGGATGACGCCTCTTAAGCTGACCGAAGTAGTGCGTTCGTGGTGCTGGTTGCGATCCCAGGTGGGTTCTGGCATCTGCCTGGGCCTATGCTTCCAAGTGTGGAAGCAACGCATCAGCTCTGCGTCAGCCTTGCCCGTCGATCCAGCGACCGCGAGAAAATCATGGAACGAACATGCACACTTGTGGTCATATATCACTGGAACGCATTGGACGATGATTTGCTGATATCCCTTTCGCGAAAGGAGTGCTCTTCCTCCCAGTTGCAGACTCATTTATATCATCCAAGAGCTGTCTCATCGCGTAGCCCATCAATAGATAAAAAACCCGATCGCAAAGTCCGGGGTGGGGAACCTGCCGGGCTTCTTCAGAGCATCCATGGAAGCGTTGCAGTCCACTGCCTTCAGGGACCAGCCACTGAGGCTCCGCCTCAAGACGCAGCAGCGGCCGCGAGGCGGCGCGCGGGCTGAAACAGCGAGGCGGCATCGTGGACGTCTGGAAGGATGATTTGGGCCCCTTGTTGTCTCCTGGACCTCTCTGCCCGTCTCCGACGAGATTCGAAGGGGGGCGAAATGTGGGATAACAAAGTGCAGCGTGGAAAACCAGCCCATGTAGCTTATTTTCATGGCGCATCCTGGCGCCGGGAGGCGCCCGTGCATCGAGGCATGGGCCGGGCACTTCTTTCGCTCGGCCCGAAGGAGAGGACGGTCCGCCATCCCCGCTCTGGAGAACCACCGCCCCCCGGGAGGGCCAGGTCCCCTGCCGAGGCCGCCCGGACCAACTCTTGGACACTCTCCGCCAGGCCCGCCGCTTCCAGGGGGGCCGACAGGCCCGCCAGGTCCCGGGCTGTTCCGGCGCTGCGACCACTTCGACCTGGGAAAACGGACCGGTGGCTCGAATGGGTTGGAATCGTGACAGTCATCGTCTCCTCGCCCCTCGCCACCGTCCGGGCCGGGGCCATCTTCTGGCCCGCCGCCCCCCGCCGCGGGCCTCCAGGATTTGGCGCGCTGTGCAGCGGCCTTGTCATTCCTCTCAGACGTTTCGCACGCGCCCTTCTCCTGCTCTGCGAACCTTCGGGCGATTCAGGAACGAATGCTTCGGGCGCGGCGGCCTTGGTTCCCAAGGCGATAGCTCCCATCGAATTTCGGATTCTGTGGTCGTGTGTTTTTCCTCGCCCAACCTCGCAGCTTTTTTCGTCGTTTCTCTTCCTATCGCGCTCGGCAGTCCTCTCAGCTCTCTTCTCAATGCCTGGCCGCCTTGGCCTCGGCCCTGCGGGCAAGCTCATCGACGTATTTCGCTTCTAGATTTCGCTTCTCATCGCGGGGCACTGCGCCTCGAAGGCTTGCACTCTCGACTCCGTGCCAGAGTCATTCTCCATTTTCCTGTCAGCTGCCGCGCGCTCTCCTCGCTCGGGCCTGCGACGCGGGCCGCCCCCCGTCTTTCCTGCGGCGCTCCTTTTCGGTCTCTCGGCGCGACCTGCCGTTGTTAGCTCCTTGCTGACCTTCTTATCGGCGCGGAGTGGGCGCCGCGCAGCCCAGCGGTTGAGGCGGCCTTCACCGCGCGGCCCATCGCGTCGACGGCAGTCAGTGCGCCGCGGCTGCGGGCGCAAATCGCATAAAAAACGGCGCCGCCACCGGCCGTCGGGCTGCCCCTCCGGCCCCGGAGGAAGGGGCGCCGGCGCGCCGCGCAGCGGTAGAAGCTGCCTCTGCCCAGCGAGGGTAGCTCGTATTCTATGCCGGCGACAGTTGATCTCGCAAATGGGCAATCCGCGCTCTGTCGGCTTTGTCCTTTCTCCTGTCCTCCTGTCCGTCCAATTCCAGGGCGATCATTTCGCCGTGCAGAAGTTTGGGTCGTCTTCTCAGCCTCGAACTTCGCGGCCCGAGTCCCGCGGCCCTCGACCGAGGTGGCCTCTTCGGCCCTGGCTTGCATCACGTCGACAAGCCGGGCAGCCTGCTCGGCTTCGCGCCGCCGTGGGCAGGGGCATTGCGCTCTCTGCTGCTGTTCTCTCGCGCGCTCCGCCTCCCGACCCCCGTCGGCCCCGGCCCTGGCGTTCGGGGCTTCCGCCGAAATCCGGCCGTCTGCGATCTCTCGCTCTCGTCCGAGCCATCTCGGCTGCCTCGGCGCTGGGTGCTTCCAACTGTCGCGCTCGGAGTTCATGCCTCTCCATCGTCGTCGCATTTGCAGCCCGGGCCCTCAATTGCCGGGCCACGTGCCGTTCCTTGTGCTGCGACGCGCCGCAGTTGTGACTGGGCGGGAATACGCGCCCATCGCAGAGACAAGGAACGCTGCATCCCTGGCGCGTGCGAGAACGCCCCCAACGCGCGGGCTTGGCGCGGCCCCCTGACCGGCCCAAGCATCGATATTCCGCCGCGTTTCCGGATTCCCGCGTCGAGGCGCGGGCTGCCAGCGGGCTCTCTGCGCGGAGATCACGCTTGCGCTCGAGACGCTTGGCCTGGCGGACTCGCGGGGTCTTGACCTCGCGCGGCATCGCATCGCGCCGACCGCCCTGGACTCGGGGCGACAGAGCTTCATCGGGGCTCTTTCGCGAAGTGCTCGACGAGACCCTTTTTCTGCTATACCTCTCTGGCCGGAGTAGTCGTGGTATCTCTCTGGCATGTGTCGTGATCTGGCTGAACGAATCTCCCCCTGCGAATGGAAGCGGCCAGCGGTTGATCGTCCTCGTGCACTGGCGCCCGCGACGGCGCTGGCCTGTGTCCGTTTGCTGGGCTTGCGAACTCATCAGTCAGGTCGCCTCTCGTTCTCCTCCAATGCTGAGAACCACTCCTAGAATCGCTGCCCCGTGTGCCGTCGACGACGGAGGGCTGGCCGAATTCG